ACGATGAAGCTTAGGAAGTGATTAACGAATGAGAGGTAGGGAACTAATAATTTATATAGCCGTATAAAGTTGAAGAATGGAGATGGTGATCATAAAATATTTTGACAATTTGTCCTTAGCGAAGACAAGGTCCACTTCATATTAAACTTTATATTAGGGAGGGGATGTATTTATACATCAAATTTATATATTAATATAAATTTATATGTCAAGGTCCCACGAACAGGCTGCAAAGCTAACAAGTTGGGTGCATGATTGAATTATCCTCAGGTCGTGTTGAAACATTTAATTATATAACATTATATTGTTGAATTTTATACAACAATTCATATGTGGTATATTTTGTCTCCCTCTTTGTCTAGCAAGCTAGTACTGTGCTTTGGTACTAAAAATGGGTTTCTTCAACATGTCAATAACAACAGTGAAGTACTATGCTTCATCCATATGTATAATAAATATATATGCTGCATCTTTTATCTCTTTTTTTTTAATCAGGGTGTTCAAGCCAGTTTATACACACCTTGATTATTAAAAAAGAGGACTATAACACGAAAACTTTTCAGAAGGTTACCCATCCTAATACTAATACTGTTCTTGCCCAAACATACTTCATTTCGAAGTTCTGATGAGATCCGATACATTAGTGTTGATATGGTTACACCCTATGCTACATCTTATTGATCATTCTCTTCTGCAAAAGTTTTGATTTCTTCTAAAATTCAAATAAGAAACCGTGATGTGAAAAATAAATATTGATTCTAGTTTTAAAAATCAGAGAGAGTGTTAGTGATAATCCTTGTTCACTCGACACATATCATAAAACGGTAGTACTTGTGGCGTAGTTGCAGTTGCTAGCACTTCTAAAATCAGAATATCCTCCTGTTGAAATTTTTTATAAATCTTATGCACATCTTATCTCATCTTAGCTCATCAAATCTCTATTTCTTTATCCATTAACTATATGAACAGGAAGGAAGTCCCTAGGTTGAAGTAAAAATATACAGCAGAAAAAATGAATGATATGATGGAGAATTAGAGTGAGCATGATTTCCATGAGGGGGAAGTAAAAGTTTGAAAAATCAAAAGGTGTCGACAAGATCACAGCTTTAAATCAAAGATGGGCAAAGGCGAAGGGAGCACATCATCTTTCAACTCACCACTCAAATCCACCACCCCCATTCTGATATGACCAATTTTTTCTCCATATTTAAAAGAAAGCAACATCGATCATCTGTCCCTTTCCACCAAGATTTTATTTTCATATTTCCATCAGAGAATAATGCTATCTAAATTATTGCCGCTTTAATTTTTTTAATCCATTTGACGTAATATCATCCTTATATATATATATATATACTTTCTTATACCAAGACACGGTTATCACTCATCAACAAGATTCATCGCTCTAGCTTTGACAATGATTTAGGTGAGTTTTTCACTTGTAATGACGTAATATACAAAGACTTTCTCTTATTCTCGTTGGGTTAAGGTTTTACTAAATATATTAATTTATGGTTGGTAGGAGATCATATATAACGAAAAACATACTTCCCAGATTAATAATTATTGATAGGTGATTTTGATACCAACGAAATACACGTGTCAAATGTTGAGTTGGCCTAAAAGACACAGGTAAATGGAAAGGAAAATGACACTAAATGCAGTGAGAAAGGAGTTTTAAAGTGGTTCGGATGCTAAGGAAGCAAATCCTATGTCCACTGATGTTTTTATTAATGATAAGGGTCGGGTCGTTTTAGACGGCTATCAAAGACTATCTATTCTAGAGAGAGAGAGTTTTGTCAAGAATAAAATGTGTGAATCCCCTTAATGAGAGAGGAGCTCCCATTTTATAGTGAGATGCCTTGAGGTAATGATTATTGAATCTGTAAGTTGGTGGGATGATCCGTGCAAATCCTTCTTTTAGAGTAATTCACGTGATTTGCTGCAGGGATTGGACACGCGGGATCATCACGACTCTTGGCCGGCCTGACGTGCTCCCATTATTCTGACGGAAGCAAGCTATGGGTGTTACCATGATCACACGACGCGGCTCCGCCAGAATGCCAGTAAGCTCTTCCTGAGGTTTGACCTTTCGCACTTAACGGGGTGCCACGTCAGCCTTATTTTCCCAGGCATAACAATAATATAAAGATAAAATCACGGTTTTATTAAATATATTAACTCATCGTGTTAGGAGATTGTGTAACAAAAAACATACATTCGAGATTAATAATATATAAATAAAATAACGTCACACAAAAGACACTATATTTACGTCGTTTGACATGACTCGTCTACATCTACGAATGAGAAAAATCTACTATAGTTTTATGAACACGATATAATAAGTATACAACACTATAAACCTGATACATAATCAACCTAGTACCTTGAGCAAAAACAATCTCAATTTCTAAGGCGCTCTATCATAGTGTTTAATAATCTTTACGTTAAATACCTTATGTTCTTACATTCTCTCGTAACCTTGAATTAGTTCGCACTTCTATATTTATATATAGTATATGAGACATTCTATTTTTAATATAATTCATATTTTAATTCTTAATAGACTCCTATAATTCTATTATCTAGAACTGTATTCATTATTAAATAGAAACAAATAGGAAAACAAGCCACAATATCCTAACAATCATAATCAAGATAAATATCAACGTTACAATCGAGGTTGCTTCATGTTTAAAATAGAGACGTAACCACTTGGTGTGTGACTAGATGACAAGACTTCTGGGTGAGTTATCCATAGATTTTATGTTCGAGTCCCACATAGTAATCACCTATTACATTTGTGACTTCCTTAATCTATAGTGTTTATAGAATATTTAATAGATTTTGAGGATTAATTAAGCATATAAATTGGTCTAAACATCCGTTGTCAAAAAAAAAAAAAAAAAAAAAAAAAGAGAGCGAGATGATGGTGGAAGAAAATCAATAGGATAAAAGCAAAGGAATGATAAAAAGGAAAAGAAATTTTGAAGTTAAAAAAAAGAAAAGGAACAAAGCACATCGGAAAGAGGAATCTTTAAACAGTGATGAATGATTACAAAAACAAAAAAAGAGAAAGAAAAGAGAACATTTTTACTGAGAATCATGAAATAAAAGAGACAAATAAAATTCTGAGATGCATGCAGTGAAAACTAGAAAATAAAAAAAAGGAAGAGAGAAGAAAGAAGAGAAAAACAGGGACAGGACAAGTTGTTTAAGTTTTAAGAGAAGAAGCCAGAGAAACCCATGTGCTTCCTCCTTGAGTTTGCATGAAATGTCTCACCAAATTTTAATGGTGCAGGCACTGGCATGAATCATTCATATGGGGTCCCGGTCCCTAGCTATTCCCTCTCTACATCTCATTAATAAATTATAAATTTAAGTCAGACTTACACGAAGAGAGAGACACCAGGCCTGGGACGTGGGCTTTCGTGGATGTGACTCTGCCTTGTTGCATTTGTCTCAGTTTACTTCCTTAAACCTGCTGGTTAATTATATATACGTATGCATAATACTGTATATATATATAGCCTAGAATTCCCCAGCATTATAATTGAGCTCAAAATGAGGCATCTGTCTCCCTTATCCTATCATCTTTTCATTATTGATGTGATGTATTTTTAGATGATTCACTGATGATTGATCAAGTTTAGGAGAGTTCATTCCAGGAGAAGATTCTATATATATATATATATATATATATATGATGTTCAAAGTCTTATCTGTGCTGAGAAAGACGGATCGTCTTAGTGAGAAAATGTTGAATGACATGTCGTCCAAACAGTCCAAACATCATGTTGTTACTTGTTCAATCAAAGATGGAATCTGTAAAGTTAAATTTATGAGCAGAAAATGAATTAGGGATAGGGCCAAGTTTCAGTTGCAGCCACAGCCACAGCTAGCCTCCCAACCAAATAGTAAACCAACCACACTTAATTCATAAATTTTGGTGTGTGAGTGTGACGAATATGTGGAGGACCATGATTAGAATGATAGCTTAAAGGTTCCATATTCTTCATTTTTATAATCAATCAAGATAATATACATTCTTTTTCAGATCAAATAGAAAAATTTCAAGTCTCTTTCATGTTATTGTCACCCATGAGTTGAATAAAATACTTGTCTATATAGAATTGATAAAGTACTTGATCAGCCTACTACGATCAACTACAAGAATTTCTCATTAAAACAATACCCAATTGATGCCTTATTGTCCTTTTTGTTGAAACCGGGTATCTTCATGTATAATATGAAAAATTCTTGAAATTTTTTAATGTATAAAGTATGAACTGAAGATGGTTAACCAGTTGCTAGCTTTGATTTGGAATTTGTTAAGCTAATCATCGGTTGCTATAGATAAGGGCTTACTCAATTTTGAGGATTTTAAGGGACAAAGTATTGGGCTAGGCCTAGTTCTATTCTGTATGATTCATTGTCCATGGTTTGTGGAACACCCACATCAACCAATTGCTGGTCCATTTTAGCCCAATTCAAGGTGCAGTCAAAATGAAAGCCTGCAAAATTGAACTTGGAGAAGAAAAGGTTTTGTTTGGAGCCTAGAGCCAATCCTTTTGTTTTGCAGCACCTGGAAATTGCAATTGATAATAATTTGGCAGGATGGCAGTGACAAAATCATATTGGTCTTGTGCTAACTTTTAGACTAAACACATTTGAGATTATGCAAAAAACCAAATACTCTTCAATAAAGGACTGCTCTTCACAAACTTATCAAACTAAGTTTTGATTCATTTCAATCTCTCAGTTCTTGACCCTAATACTAACAGTTGCATTTAGTTCTGCTGAATACAGGGGCATAGAGTAGATGTAGTTTTCCATTCAGCTTGAATTCAATCAAGAAATAATCACAAAAGGTTTCCAACAAGGAGCAGCAGATTTTTTATACACAACTTCAATGTACAAATTCATAGACACGGACAAGAGAAAGTGTTTTCTAAAAAATAGGTGTCTTACAAGCTGCTCAGAGATATCAAAATGAAAAAGTTCTGTCCTCAAGCACAAAGTTTCTATTGAGCTAAAGCTGTTCTGCACAATGCACAATATGTATAGATTTACAGTGACAACATTTGGATATCTATATCAGCATTTTAGTATCTACAACAGTTAAGCTACTCCTGTATTCCTGACTCAGGTAAATTATTGACATTAGTGGATGGAAGATAATCTTACAAAATCTTTCACTTTGGTTATTCAGCTTGAGATGCAGATGATACCATTGCTTCAACCGCGTCCAAAGTCTGTCCTTGATCAGCATTCATTATATGATCATGTCTGTTTGCTTGACAATCTATAATGGCAGGATGGCAATTTCCTTCCCGTGATGCTACCATTTTCCCATTTCCACCAATATCAGCGTGTGACGATGGCCCTGCTTGTGGATCAAAGCATGGTAGATCACTCTGACACCGAAGGCCAATTGTTCCACCAGTAGACAGCACACCACAATCATCTTCCTTCCAGACAGTAGAGGTATCACACTGCTTTTGGAATGGGAAAATACCCAACTCATCATCAATTTTTGCTTTAAGGTGTGCCAAAAGGCCTCTCAACCTCGCAACCTCAGCTTCAAGAATTGCTTGCCCCTGCAATTTCCTGACTAGTTGTTGGTTCAACAAGCGCAATTTCTTGACTTCCTCTTCTAAATAAGCTGTGTGGGCCTTCTTTTTCTCCCTATACTTTCGAACAGCTTCTCTGTTACCCTTTGGCCTTCTTGGTTTTAAACTAGAATGCTCCCCATCATTCGAGTGATCGTGATCGTGATCGTGATCTTCTTCAGATGGAATAACTCGAGTGTGTGTATGGTAGCATGTATGCGTATGAACCGCCAGATCAGGACCAGGTGGGTTGCAAGTGTGAGTGTGAGTACATGTTCTAGTGGTCTTCAACAATTCATCGAGAAATAAGTCTACAGAAGCAGAATTATCTGTATTTGGCATTAGAGCTTTATCTGAAAGCTCTACCTCTCCATTATCCATGTGTTTATGCATAACAACAAAAGTGAATGAACTTACCTGAAACACCCAATTATCTTCACACGACTACTCCAACAAGGCAATAATCTCTATGTAAGACTAAACTAATTAATGTTCTATAGAACCAATTCTTACTATTCTCAATCAAAAGTCAAAAGTATGATTCTGATAATGGAAATAATATTATTAATTTCAAGAATATATGCAAAGAATCACAGCCAGCATGCAGAACATTATCCATTAATTGTCCACAGCATCAATTGTCATATTTAACACACTAACAAGCACAGGAAAACCCTGAAATCAATCAAGAGTTGAGGGTCAAACATAAGAAAACTAAGCTTGATGAGTAATCTGAAGAATATCCAGATGGAGATTCTTGGCAAGAAGATAAAAGCAAAGCATAAAGGCAAGAGTTTTGAAGTGGAACTCAGTCAACTACTGAAGAGAATCGAAGCTTCAAGTGGGGCAAGATGATAAAGTTGTGGACTTGAACAGAACAAGAAATAGAAAAAAATCTGGATTCTTCGGTATAACTTTTGTAAGTTTACCTGATTTTTTTTCCAGTGAGATTCTATCACTATGATGATTTCACCCATCAGCCACCTTCACCCATTTCTGATTTACAATTGTACACTATTTTTTGGTTTTATCTGTTTAAAACATGTATGAAAGTCAACTTTAGGTAGCGTAACCTGGCCAAAAAAAAAAGAAAGCACAAGGGTAGAGATAACAGTGGTTCAGAAAATAAGAGAGAATTTTGTCATTGATTATTTTTTATTTGGCTTTCCATTGATTCTGTCGTCATTTTATATCATATTTCGAATGTCGAATCCATTGACTTTTTAGTCTTATAACTAATAATGTTATCCCCTATAGTTTTGGACTAAAGTGTTTTGTTTCTGTATTTTTCTAATATCTGAACAGTCCTTTCCATTGCACAAACAATTACAAGACATTCATTAACTAAGACTAATTATTCCCCTGGAATGGGAGGAGCAAATGCATGCTTTACAACAAGGCTGCGGCCCATTAAATGCATTTCTTTTAACCACCCCATTCAAATTCAGCTGAATAAAGAACATCTTGTTCTTCCAATTAGCATCAAAAGCATCTTTTAAGAAGGTGGGTGAGACTCTGCAGCTTAGATACTAAAAGTATAGGCCGAACGACTTGCGCATATTTAAGGTTTGTCAAAACGATAAGTTGGTATCTAAAAAGTTTTGAAATGACAAACATGTACCTTCCGTCATGTGTTATTAGTGATTTCTGTTTGTTAATAGTGAAAAGACTAAAATGCCCTTGAAGTTTGATATTTTAGTTTTTTAAAAATTTCTAAAAAACCCCTTAGGTTTGCTAATTTAACTAAACACCCCCATATATAAAAGGTTTGTTAAATGACAAAAACACCCCCACCACTGCAGTGCCAGATTCCAGCCACCACCATCGGAATCTGGCCGGAAATTGCGTTACGACACAGACCCTGTCGGATCTGTGTCATAACGCGCTGATCTGGCCTTTTTCGGCCAGATCCATGGTTGATCTAGCTGGAAAAGGCCAGATCTGGCCGTCGAGGCAACAGATGGAGTTATGCAGCCTTGACGGCCAGATCTGGCCTTTTTCGGCCAGATCCGTGGGTGATCTGGCCGGAAAATGCCAGATCTATGGCTAGATCTGGCCGTCATGGCCGCAAAACTCCATCTGTGGAGTCGACGGCCAGATCTAGCCGTAAATCTGGTCTTCTCTGGCCAGATCAGCCATGGATCTGGCCGAAAAAGGCCAGATCGGCGCTTTACGACACAGATCCGACGGGGTCTATGTCGTAACGTAATTTCTAGCAAGATTCCGACGGTGGTGGCTGGGATCTAGCCGCAGGTGGTGGGGGTGTTTTTGTCATTTAACAAACTTTTTATATATGAGGTGTTTAGTTAAATTAGCAAACCTAGGGAGTTTTTTAAAAATTTTTAAAAAACTAAAATATCAAACTTCAAGGGCATTTTAGTCTTTTCACTGTTAACAAACAGAAATCACTAACAGCACATGACGGAAGATACTTGTTTGTCGTTTCAAAACCTTTTGGGTACCAACTTATTGTTCTGGCAAACCTTGGGTATGCGCAAGTCATTTGGTCAAAAGTATATTCCAAAGAGATAAAAAAAAAATCACTTTAATTCTTTATGTATAGATTCACAAATGGAACATGATATTTTCATCCTCCTTATTTCAGTTTTGGCATATTTAAGATTGAGCTGGGATTAGTGCAATTCGGCTAATGTGGGTAAACTCTGAAACAAGATTTCAGGAGAGAAATAGAGAGTTGGTTAGCAAACTTAATTGGCTCAAAATGTTTGGTCAAACAAAGTTGACAATGAAGTATGAACAACATAACAAAGATTTAGGGAAATGCCACATTTTCAATATTGTCTTGACTAGCAAACGTGTTAACTCCGTATTGAAAATGTTAAGAGTTTCTTTTGCGTAAAGATAACTATCTCTTCTGGGTTCAACTTCTCTGTAACCAAAACTACAATATCATTTTACTTTGTTGCTCTCATTCTTTGTCATCTATCTTCTGGGGAAGACAGAAAGGTCAAAATCAAGACTAATTTATAGTGATTAGATCAAGAAAACTGGCTGGTTGCAAGCAACTACAAATGGTTCTTATTGCAGAAAATCATCCATCTCATTCAGAAAAAGAATCTGGTTAATCCATGAAATCATTGAGTTGGCGCTAGATTATGCACTCTGACATCCATGTCAAGGGGACAAATGTAAAGAGATAAATCAACCAAAGCTTCATCTCATAGTCACATGGCTATTTCTAGTTCTGCATTTTTCTTCCAAGCTGTGTCAAACTGTCAACAATTTCTCTTTCAAATTTAGCATATAAAATAATTTATAAGATTTAAAATAAAAGTTTAATTAATTTAAACAATTTTTTTTTAATTACAAATAGGGTTGGGTGACAAATGAAAGAACAACTGAAAGTACAAGCATTTAGATCACGAGGTACAAGTGCTCCAAGCGTGGTTGGATTTTTCTAGTAAAGCAACTATTTTTTTTTTTCAATATTCAACAGAAAATAAAGAAAATACAATAAAAGTTGGATTTTTTCTTGGCTTTGAGAGGAAGAAGAAGCTTTCAAGCAACCGAATTCTTCTCTCTATAAGTTCCATTGCAATCCTTCACACTCTAATGAAACTTCTGTCTCCAAATTAAAGGTAAAATAACCAGACATTTTATAGTATTTGTTTATTGATTACGTTTACTTGATTTTTATTTTTAAATTTTATTGGTCTGGTGATTTGTATGTTGTAGTAAGCAATTGTAAACAAGTGTATGAGCTTATACTTTTCTTCTCTCTCCTTTTTTTGGTGTGAATTCAAGGTTAGTTTATTTAAAATCTAGTTCTAGTAATTTCTGGTTATGTCTGGTTTGCTTTTTCTATTTTTCTTGAAAGTCTGTTTGGTTGCTAGGAAATGATGGAAAAGAAAGAAAATAAGACTTTAGAAATTTTTCATTGATAATTTTGAGTTGAGAAGGATGATTTGTTTTTTGATTTGGCCTAAGAATTGTGTTGGATTGGGTTGTGCTATTTTCTTAAGCTTTTGGTAACTAATATTATATGAATCATAACGTTAAATTTGTTTTTTGTTTTTTATTGTTCATTGTTTCCTGCAACTAGATAGAGGGTCAAGTTAAACTATTGCTCAAGTATTTGCTTTGGGTGATCATTACAGTAAAAAGTTTCTGGGTATGGAAATTATCTCATACAATTGCCCGCTGAGCTGTCATGTTGTAAACTTGAGGTGGAAATTTGTCGAGAGAAGTTCGAGTTCATGCCAGTCAAAGCTTACATCATTTAGGAAACACAATANAAAAGTATATTCCAAAGAGATAAAAAAAAAATCACTTTAATTCTTTATGTATAGATTCACAAATGGAACATGATATTTTCATCCTCCTTATTTCAGTTTTGGCATATTTAAGATTGAGCTGGCCTGGGATTAGTGCAATTCGGCTAATGTGGGTAAACTGTGAAACAAGATTTCAGGAGAGAAATAGAGAGTTGGTTAGCAAACTTAATTGGCTCAAAATGTTTGGTCAAACAAAGTTGACAATGAAGTATGAACAACATAACAAAGATTTAGGGAAATGCCACATTTTCAATATTGTCTTGACTAGCAAACGTGTTAACTCCGTATTGAAAATGTTGAGTTTCTTTTGCGTAAAGATAACTATCTCTTCTGGGTTCAATTTCTCTGTAACCAAAACTACAATATCATTTTACTTTGTTGCTCTCATTCTTTGTCATCTATCTTCTGGGGAAGACAGAAAGGTCAAAATCAAGACTAATTTATAGTGATTAGATCAAGAAAACAGGCTGGTTGCAAGCAACTACAAATGGTTCTTATTGCAGAAAATCATCCATCTCATTCAGAAGAAGAATCTGGTTAACCCATGAAATCATTGAGTTGGCGCTAGATTATGCACTCTGACATCCATGTCAAGGGGACAAATGTAAAGAGATAAAACAACCAAAGCTTCATCTGATAGTCACATGGCTATTTCTAGTTCTGCATTTTTCTTCCAAGCTGTGTCAAACTGTCAACAATTTCTCTTTCAAATTTAGCATATAACATAATTTATAAGATTTAAAATAAAAGTTTAATTAATTTAAATTTTTTTTTTTTTCAATTACAAATAGGGGTTGGGTGACAAATGAAAGAACAACTGAAAGTACAAGCATTTAGATCACGAGGTACAAGTGCTCCAAGCGTGGTTGGATTTTTCTAGTAAAGCAACTATTTTTTTTTTTCAATATTCAACAGAAAATAACGAAAATACAATAAAAGTTGGATTTTTTTCTTGGCTTTGAGAGGAAGAAGAAGCTTTCAAGCAACCGAATTCTTCTCTCTATAAGTTCCATAGCAATCCTTCACACTCTAATGAAACTTCTGTCTCCAAATTAAAGGTAAAATAACAAGACATTTTATAGTATTTCTTTATTGATTACGTTTACTTGATTTTTATTTTTAAATTTTATTGGTCTGGTGATTTGTATGTTGTAGTAAGCAATTGTAAACAAGTGTATGAGCTTATACTTTTCTTCTCTCTCCTTTTTTTGGTGTGAATTCAAGGTTAGTTTATTTAAAATCTAGTTCTAGTAATTTCTGGTTATGTCTGGTTTGCTTTTTCTATTTTTCTTGAAAGTCTGTTTGGTTGCTAGGAAATGATGGAAAAGAAAGAAAATAAGACTTTAGAAATTTTTCATTGATATTTTTGAGTTGAGAAGGATGATTTGTTTTTTGATTTGGCCTAAGAATTGTGTTGGATTGGGTTGTGCTATTTTCTTAAGCTTTTGGCAACTGATATTATATGAATCATGACGTTAAATTTGTTTTTTGTTTCTTATTGTTAATTGTTTTCTGCAACTAGATAGAGGGTCAAGTTAAACTATTGCTCAAGTATTTACTTTGGGTGATCATTACAGTAAAAAGTTTCTGGGTATGGAAATTATCTCATACAATTGCCCGCTGAGCAGTCATGTTGTAAACTTGAGATGGAAATTTGTCGAGAGAAGTTCGAGTTCATGCCAGTCAAAGCTTACATCATTTAGGAAACACAATATTTCGTGTACTAGGATTCATTTCAGAAGTGGGTTTCCAAGATATTCTGATAGTAACCAGTTATACTTAAAGAATCTTGATCATGGGAAAGGTTCTCATTCATTAAAAGCTGTTGAAGGGTTTAAAAAGGTCTTTTCAAAGGTATCGAGTGGGAACTATGATGGATATGTAATTGGTGGGGAAGAGGGTGCTGGAAATATTTCGAAAGATGGGGCACCGATACCCAAGGTTTTAATTCCAGGCTTGCCANCTGCAACTAGATAGAGGGTCAAGTTAAACTATTGCTCAAGTATTTGCTTTGGGTGATCATTACAGTAAAAAGTTTCTGGGTATGGAAATTATCTCATACAATTGCCCGCTGAGCTGTCATGTTGTAAACTTGAGGTGGAAATTTGTCGAGAGAAGTTCGAGTTCATGCCAGTCAAAGCTTACATCATTTAGGAAACACAATACTTTGTGTACTAGGATTTATTTCAGAAGTGGGTTTCCCAGATATTCTGATAGTAACCAGTCATTCTTAAAGAATCTTGCTCATGGGAAAGGTTCTCATTCATTAAAAGCTGTTGAAGGGTTTAAAAAGGTCTTTTCAAAGGTATCGAGTGGGAACTATGATGGATATGTAATTGGTGGGGAAGAGGGTGCTGGAAATATTTCGAAAGATGGGGCACTGATACCCAAGGTTTTAATTCCAGGCTTGCCAGATGAATCCAATGGTGAATGTGCTGCACCTATAAGTAGTTGCTTCTGGGAGTGGAAACCTAAATTTACTGTGCATTATGAGAAGGCAGGGTGTGAAAATGTAAATTCCCCACCTGTGCTGTTTCTTCCTGGCTTTGGGGTTGGTTCTTTTCATTATGAGAAGCAACTGAAAGATTTGGGCAGGGACTATAGAGTATGGGCAATTGACTTTCTTGGGCAAGGCATGTCATTGCCATTTGAAGATCCTACTGCACGGTCTAACAAAGGAGGTACAACAGAAAGGAAGGATAAAGTGTGGGGATTTGGAGATGACGTTGAACCATGGGCGAGTCAGCTTGTTTTTTCTATGGATTTATGGCAGGATCAGGTTCGTTATTTCATAGAAGAGGTCATTCGTGAACCAGTATATATTGTGGGGAACTCACTTGGAGGATTTGTTGCAGTTTACTTTGCTGCATGCAACCCTCAACTAGTGAAGGGTGTTACATTGCTTAATGCAACACCCTTTTGGGGATTTTTACCCAATCCTGTTAAGTCTCCCAGACTAGCAAAGATATTTCCATGGTCTGGAACATTTCCTCTTCCTGCAAGTGTGCGGAAGCTCACAGAATTGATGTAAGTTTTTCTTTAATTGGTTAATTAGATCATATGATGTTATTTGTGAACCTGTATACTTTTAATTCACCTGAGGTATTTTTCAATGAAGATCTGGTAAAGTATTCTTTTTTATGTTTTTAACTTGTAAATTCAGAAAAAATAGGTTTTATGGATGTTGGTAATGTTTAATAATATGTTATCTGGATAAAGCAATTGTATTTTCTCTTTTCCACTCTAGTTCAACTTATTGTTATTTTTTGTCATTGTAGTTGGCAGAAAATTAGTGATCCGGGAAGTATTGCCGAGGTACTTAAACAGGTTTATGTAGATCATTCTACTAATGCAGACAAAGTTTTCTCTCGTATTCTTGAGACAACCCAACATCCTGCAGCTGCTGCATCATTTGCGTCAATTATGTTTGCTCCACAGGGACAATTATCCTTCAGGGAGGCTTTATCTAGGTAAGTGGTACTGAAATCTCCAACTGTGAGAAAATATATTCCAGTCTTGTATTACCACTTTTCCTAGCTCCAAGTTAAGTGTTTCCAGTTCTTTATATATTTAGGTGTCAGATGAATGATGTTCCAATCTGTCTCATGTATGGAAAAGAAGACCCCTGGGTTAAGCCTATCTGGGGCCTTCAGGTGAAAAGGCAGCTGCCTGAAGCTCCATACTATGAGCTCAGTCCAGCTGGTCACTGCCCTCACGATGAAGTTCCTGAGGTATGTAGCTTGTTGCTAATCAGTGAAGCAGTGTATTTGATAAAGCGGTTGTCTTGCGCCAGTATTTTCCTCTTGGCCTTCTTTCTTTTCTTCTTTGACATTGGACTGTCATCGTTTATACAGGTTGTGAACTATTTGCTGCGTGGGTGGATAAAAAACCTGGAGTCCGAGGGTTCAGTGGTGTTACCTCTGCTTGACGACATAGACAGAATTCAGTATAGCATTGCCAAGGACTTGGAATTTGTTAGAGAAGGATCAAAAAAATCAGTAAGAGTACAATTCCATGGATCCAGTTTCTCACTCTGGAACCGGATTGGCTCCTTTATTACATCTCGCTTTCAGAAATTAGAGACTAAACCTTGATCACTGACACAGAGCTTACTTTTAGTTCTCCAGAAGTGATGTAAATTCTTAAATGTAACATATTTGTTTGATGTATCATAGAAAAGATATCAGATTAATTAAATGATTCATAGTATTAAATTATCTGAAAGTTGTTCTGTTGACTTGGGAGTTTTAACTTACTGTTCCAATCAGTTATTAAATATAACATCACATAAAATAACTGAAGCTCTTCATAGATTGACTGTGAGCATACATGAAATAACTTATTTTATCTAAAATGATGAGAAGATTATATGCCTGAAAAAAAAAATGTACTTTGCCAGTTTGCCCGAATGGTTGGAGTTGACTTTCAGCTAAATTATAAAGCTCTGACAATCTCTTTAGCTCTCCTTACTTTCTCCAAGAGTTTCCAAGTAATTTCAAGGAAACAATGTTACAAATACACCTTCACCTTTTATAATGCAGTGTCAGGGAACCTTCAGTTTTCATAATGCAGTTTCTAGGAACCTCGACTCTTTTATATAATGCATTTTCAAGGAGAGTGGGATTCTGGACCTTGTGCTAGCAGGAGCTTGAGAGAAATTTCTTGGTTACAATTATCATTTTTCCCTCTTTCTGTATCACCAACAAAATAGAGAAAAAAAAAAAAACAAGTGTCCCTTAATCTTAAATTCTTGTTTTAGATTAACACGTCACATTGATGATCTCCTGACTAAAGCTCAAAACAAATGTTTGCGAATTTCAAAGTAGACTGGTAATGGTGATGATCTTTTTGCATAATGGACAACAAAGGGGCCCCATCAAGCATTAAATTTAGATTAAGATTTATGAAATCCAAAACGCGGTATAGTTTGTCAGCGACCTTAAAGTCAAGTGCTTGCTATGCCCATGTAATGTGGTGTCTAGAGCCAAACAGTCAAACACTTAACAAAGAGGTTTTCATTTCCTCCCGATTCTCCTTTTCCCTAAGCATCAGTAATGGCGGAAGCAGTCCTTTCTGCTCTCCTTCAGGTGGTTTTTGAGAAATCCTCTCAAATCTTTGACGAGTGTGCAGCTTTATATGGCACTAGGAAAGAGATGAAAAGGCTTCAAGGTGTGCTGTCTACAATTCAAGCTGTCCTGGAAGATGCAGAAGATCGGCAAGTAACGGACAAGGCAGTGAAAATTTGGTTGCTAAAGCTTAAAGACGTAGCTTATGATCTTGATGACTTGTTGGATGAGTATATGACAGAAGCATTACGGCGCAAATTGAAGTTTCATGATCACATGGAGTTCAGGGGTTGCATCGTCAGTGAGGTACGCAATCTCTGTTCACCCTCAAATCCTTTACTCTACCATTATAGAATGAAAAACAAGTTGGAGAAGACGGTGGATAAATTAAATGGGATTGCGGATGAGAGGTTCAATTATCATCTGAGAGTTGTATCTACTGACCCTGGTGGGGAATCCTTTGCAAGACTGCAAACGGATTCATACTTAGTAGAATCTGAAGTTTTTGGTAGAGATGCGGACAAAGAAAAGATTGTACAGTTTCTTATTAGTCCAACCGGTAAAGAAGATGTTTCAGTACTTCCCATAGTTGGACTGGGCGGGATAGGAAAGACAACGCTTGCCAAGTTGGTCTACAATGATGAAAGGGTGCAGGAGCATTTTGAGCGAAGAATCTGGGTTTGTGTATCTGAAAACTTTGATGTGAAAAGGCTTATGAAAGCAGTTATAGAATCTGTGACAGGGAATAGATGTTACCTTCAAGAGATGGAAACAATTCACCGTCAAGTTCAAGAACTGACAATGGGGCAGAAAGTTTTACTAGTTTTGGATGATATATGGAATGATGATCACGAAAAGTGGGATAGATTGAAGAATTCTCTTAGGCATGGTTCTGAAGGGAGCAAAATCTTAGTAACAACTCGCAGTGAGAAGGTTGCACTGGTAATGGGCAGCGTCACTAGTTACTGCTTAGAGGGTCTGTCAGATGACGTCTGTTGGTCATTGTTTGAACAACGAGCATTCAGACGTGGAAAGCCAGATGAATCTTCAAATATAATAGCAATTGGAAAGGAAATTGTGAAAAAGTGCAGGGGTGTGCCTTTGGCAGCAAAGGCTTTAGGAAGCGTAATGTGCTTAAAGAAAAGGAGGAGTGAGTGGTTGTCTGTTAAAGACAGTGAAATATGGAATATTTTTGAGGAGGAAAATGGAATTTTATCGGTGTTAAGGCTAAGCTATGATAACTTACCATCACGTCTGAAGCAATGTTTTGCTTATTGCTCTCTGTTTCCGAAGGACTGGAGGATCAACAAGGAGAAACTAATCCAATTGTGGATGGCAGAAGGTTTTATTCAATCATCTCAAGGAAAGTCACTGGAAGAAGTTGGGAGTGAGTATTTCAATGAACTAATGTGGAGGTCTTTCTTTCATAATGCAACCAAAGACAGCAGTGGTAGCATAGTGGCCTGTGAAATGCATCATCTCCTTCATGATCTTGCAAAATCTGTGGCTAGTACCAGTTGCTTGACAGTGGATGCCGGCAGGAAAATGCATGTTCCTACCGGCACACGCTATATGTCAGTAGTTTGTACTGAGAATAAACTCCGAGTGGGTTCTAAAAAAGCTTGCAAGTTGCGCTCTCTTCTTCTGTTACATGGGCAGACGCAGATTGTCAAAGTATCTCGCAGTTTGATCTTGAAATTCAAATCTTTGCGTAGTTTATGTCTAAGCAGTACCAGAATAAAAAAGTTGTCCAAGTCAATTGGTGCAATGAAACATTTAAGGTACATTGACCTCTCAAATACCCTCCTCAAAAGGTTACCAAACTCTATCTGTAGCCTTGTCAATTTACAATCTTTAGTTCTTACACATTGCAACCGTCTGGAGAGTCTGCCTACAGGTATGAGAAAGTTGATCAACCTCAGGCATCTAAATCTAGATGGATGTGAACAGCTGACTGAACTGCCAAAGGGAATTGGAGAGCTAAGCTTGCTTCGAACATTACCATTATTCGTCGTTGGTCTGGAAACAGCATGTAGCATCGCTGAATTGGAGAATCTAGACCTCCAAGGAGAATTGAAGATCAAGAACCTTGAAAATTTGATGAATGCAACACTTGCCAAGTGTGCTAATTTGAAGGCAAAGAGAGATCTCCAGTCATTGAAGTTATTGTGGGGGCATACTGATGAGCTGAATGTAAGAGAAAATGTTGAGCGTGTTATTGAAGTCCTCCAACCAAATTCTGATGTAAGGAAGTTACTGATTGAGAACTATATGGGCTCAAAATTTCCCAGTTGGTTGATGAATCCATCTGTCATAAATCTTGTAGAACTCTCATTAATCAGATGCCAGAGATGTGTGGAACTGCCACCACTACCAAAGCTACCATTTCTTGAGGTTCTAACAATTGATGGAATGGATGCCACAATGTATTTCTGCAATGATTCCAGAGAATATTGTGTTACCAAATTTTTGTTGCTCAAAAAATTGGTAATCAAGAATATGCATAATCTGTTAGGATGGTCAGTCGTCGAAGGAAATATTGTACTTCCTTGCCTAGAGGAATTGGTGATTGAGAGTTGTCCGAGCTTGATCAAACTGCCAGATCTTCCATCTATCAAATCTTTGAAGCTGGATGATTGTCGATTTGACCTCTTAAGGATGGCAGCAAAGATAAGTTCTCTTTCCAATCTCGTTATGACTGACATCTCTGAGCTAATACATTTGCCAGACGGTTTGCTCAAAAACAATCCACATTTGTTGTCTCTGGAAATCAGAAACTGTACCCAGCTGAAAAATCTTTTTCGTGAGCTTGAGAATCTTAGTGCCCTTCAGTCATTAAGCATTACCGGCTGTCCGGAACTTGAAGCATTGTCTGCATTGGAAAGCCTCAGTTCTCTCAAATCCTTGGTGATAGATAGCTGCAATATTCTAGCTTCATATCTAGAAGATGGATTAAGAGGTTTAAACTCTCTTCAACATCTATCACTATCAAACTGTGAGGAGCTAGCAGCCTTGCCCGATGCAATGCAGCATTTTACAAGTCTCAAAATATTGCACATTTGGAGTTGTCCTCAATTGGAGACTCTGCCTGAATGGCTAGGAAACCTTGCTTCTCTCCGAGAGATGGAACTTTGGTACTGTGAAAACTTGCGTTGTCTTCCAGAATCCATGACTCAACTTACTGCTCTTCAGTTTCTGTCAATTTGGAGCTGTCCTCGCTTGACCGTGCTCTGTCAGAAAGAGGAAGGGACAGAATGGCGCAAGATACAGCACATTCCATTCATCAAGATAAATGGTCCTTACATTCAAGCCATAAGGGCCTAACTGGTAAGTGGTTTCTTTAAACAAATCTACAAAAATGAAAATTTTCCTGTGTTCTCATAGCATTTGAAAATTGAAATGAGTTCAGCATGAACTATAACTACAGTATTTAATAAGAAAAAAATTTAAACGGCCCGCCAAGATTCAACGTTAACGGCTCTTTGGGTTATGAACAAACCTATATAAACAGTGTTGAAATAAATATAAAGAACCACAAACGAGAGAGATGAGGCTTCTCTCTCAAACTTTTCGATCTGTGAAACTTTCAAACCCTAACCCATCAAAACCATCGTCATCATCTTCATCACCAATATCAAGGATATCAAAATCACAATTACAACCAAGTCCAAATTCGAAATCTAAATCAAGATCATGGTGTGTGTATCTCATTATCTCTACCAACACCCCCATCAAGACCTACGTTGGTGTCACCAGCAATTTCTCTCGCCGGTACGCTTGAATCTTTTGAATTTTTTTGAGAAATTACACCGTTTTTTTCACAATTTAGTTTATCGGGATTTATTTGAGAACTTATTGAAATTGGGCATCTGGGTATGATTCCAAAGTTTTATTTTTTCTTAAACAACTTGGATTTTTATTTGTTTGAACGGCTGAATCTGCATTCTAAACATTCTTTGTGTGTTGAGTTTGGGTATTTGTCAAGTCTGGATATCTGCTTACTTGGGTAGAACTGGATCAAATTGAGATGGTTTTTTCTTATTTAATGGCTGAATTGTGCTGTGTGTTACCCTTTTTGGCTGAGAAAAATTGCAAACAAACCTCGTTTGATTCATAATTTCGTTAAAACTTTTTGATCTAGGAGCCAGATGTTTGGGTGGCCTGAATGTATTTTCTACTTTTTTCATCTGCTGTCTTATTGTGTTATTCAGTAAAATAAGCATAATAAAATAAGCTGGGTACTCTTTGCAGCTTGAAACAACATAATGGTGAACTAAAAGGGGGAGCAAAAGCATCCCGTGCAGGAAGACCATGGGTTTGTGCATGCTTAATTCGAGGTTTCCACGATCAAAGTGAAGGTAATTTTTCTAATATATATCTGTTGCCTCGAAAGATTTTATTTTATTTATTTTATTTTTTTTTTGGTGGTTGATTGATAGAGAAGAAGGAATTTTATTCCTTTGAATATGTTGATGTTAAACAATATAGTTTCTGTCAAGTACTTGTTGAAAGACACGTTTATTGAATTATTTCATTGGAATGTTGCAGCTTTAACTGTATCTATAAATTTTCTCTCTGTGCTTTGCTTCTTTATATATAACAGTGGATTCTTGGAATTTTGTTGTCATCAAATTCCCCATTAGATTTGTTCCAACAAGTTTGGCAACTCTCTAAATGGCCATAATATTTCCAACCTTATCTCACATACGATCACCTTTGTTCTGCCTTTCTCTGTTCCCTCCTGGGATTTCCGCAACCACTTCCAGAATCTACAACAGTATCCGTTACTCCCTTTAAAGTCATCTTTCCAGAGAGGCTGCATTTATTTATCAAATTATTTGACATTGCTGATGATTCTGCAAGACCATTTTATGGCTGCTACAAGATATTTATAATTATGGAATTCCTTGACCAATGTTTTCTCATTAGCGATTGCCATGAATCTGGCTCTATTGAAGTGTTTGATGATTATATGCAATTTTTGTGGCCTGCCCTTGAATCTTTTGCTTTATAGAAAGGCTGAAAGCTCCATAACTTAGTCACAAATATTTACAATGATTATGACAAGAGTTAATAGGTATAGCTTTAACATGACCGTCACACAATGTTATTATCGGAAACTTTCTAATTTCTGTTGCTTCTTGAGATTCTACTTTATATATGATGTATGTTATTATCTTGTTTAGAGTGGCAGATACTACGAATTCTTATGCAATGTTTCCTTGAATTATATATGTAGCTTGTGAATTTGAATCAAAATGGAAAAATTTCTCACGGAAATTGCCACGCAAAAGGAATAGCGAAGACACGATGAAGCAGATGAATGATAGGTCACTGCCATTGCTGCAACACAGGCAAACAGCTCTAAATAGAGTGAAAGCATCTCTTGATTGCAGTCACTTAGAAATTGATTGGCAATTGAACCCTTTCTAAATTGTTGTAAGTATTCCACAGTGTCTCAATATTTCTTGACCCGATAACCTAATCAGTATGTTAAGTTAATGAAAAGTGTATAATGTAGGGTAAAGAAACACCCATGTCCATCATTCTTGTACACTGTATTAATTTTCTTTATCCCAATAATGAAAAGCATGTATTATTTTCATGTAGAAACAACAAAAATCAATTCTTCAATGGTACAAAAATAATTATAATCCGTGGATGAAGTTTAGAATCATTAATCCTTGTTTAATAAGGATTCAAATACTAATTAGATCTCTAATTCAACAAGGAATCAAATACTAATTCTCATGTATCTAATCCTTCTTCAATAAGGGATAAAACAAAACGGGTTGGTTTTATATATATATGCTTTGGCGTCAGGAGCTGAACAAGGTGTTTCTCATTATAGGCATAGGTTTAAAAATGTCGAAACCAGCTTCTTGTTCCTTTGATATGTGGCAACAAGACGAGATCGCCCCTCCAAGTCACCACACTGGTAAATTCTATATTCTATTGCGAGTTTATTTCATTGTTGAATACACTCCACAACACTACAAGATGAATGTTTATTCAAAGAAGAGTTATGGGTATCTTGAACGAAGTGACTTGGTAGACGACTTGAAGCTGCCTGAAACCATTTCAAGGATGATGAAACTCCTTCCTGTAACTGAAGAGGACAAAGAGAAGATCATAAAGATTGTTGGCTCCAAGGCTAAGTTGATGGATTGTAATGATTCTAATGCGGGTCGTGATGTTATATCTGCTGTTATGTCACTTGGGATTTTTTATAAACAAAAGTATAATCAAGAAGTGGAGCTTGCTTGGGCTACAAGATTGGGAAAGTCCCTAGGAGAATGCGTGCCGGCCATGGAATTAGCCGTTATGGATTTAAACAAGTTGGTGTTTGAGAAGAATTGTTGCCTTGAGAGTCAATGTGGGATTTGTTTAGAAGGGTTTTGTGAGGGAGAGGAGATTACTCGGTTGCCTTGCTCGCATGATTTTCATGGAGGTTGCATTGTGAAGTGGCTTAAAAAGAGTCACTTGTGTCCATTCTGTAGATTTCCACTGCAAGTTTGCGGAGAGACAGAAGCTTTATGCCCGTTCAAGGAGGAGAAGATGAGTAAGGATCGTGTGTATCGAAAACCAAGGAGGCGTGTTGGGCAGCCATGGCTCCGGAGTCGTCCTTATGGTGGGCTAAACATCGTTGATCCTCTTGGTTAGCCAAAATTAAATTGAAGGTCTCAAGCGTTGGTAGAAAATTTTGTGAATACAGCCAAGTCCAAAGTCCAAATCTAAATCAAGATCATCTGTCTATCTCATTCTCTCTACCAACGTCCCCATCAAGAACTACATTGGTGTCACCATCAATTTCTCTCGCCTGTACCCTTGAATTTGAAATCTATACAAGCTTATGTTATGAATTTGAATGTTTGTTCAGTCTAGCTATCCAGACTTGTAATGCTTATTTGGGTCAAAATGTTGATGTTAAACAACAGTTTCTGCCAAGTACTTGTTGAAAATCACTAGTTTATTGAAGTATTCGATCAGAATGTTGCTTATTTTGATGTATCTGGAAATTTTCTTTCTGTGCTCTGCTTGTTATTGACACGGTGAATTCTTGGAATTTGGTTCTCATCAATATCCCTATTACATTTGTTCGATTTTCAGTTTTCTCCTAGAACTTCTGCAACCATTTCCAGAACTCACCTATAATTCATCGCTCTCCTTCCAAGTCATTCTAAAAGATAAAGCAACTACCACAAATTGAAACAATTAAACTAAAACATAAATTGACGGATACGAAGATAAGAGTAATACTCTAACAAACACTTCTCACTAATTTTCTCTTACAAATACGATGTGTCAGCTAGTAATAGGTCTCACCTCACCAAATGTGAATTAATCAATTGCGAGCTATCATGTCACGTTTGTGAGAGAAAGTTAGAGAGAAGTGTTTATCAGCCTATCTTGATTCATGAAGATAAATGCCTCTCCTACCTAAGACAAAGAGTGAAAGCTTGAAGTTGTCATGCGGTGGGATGAAAACCGAGCCTAGACGCTCGAGCTCGGCTCAACTTTGGCTCGAATTCAACTCGGCATTAGTCGAGTCGAGTTCGAGTAGCTTAACTAATCCCACGAGTCGAGTTTGATTACTATATAAAAAACTCGACTAAAACTCGATTAACAAACTCGAATTTAATTTTTAGGTATCGAGTTCAAGTTTGAACTTGATTCATTAGGCTTAAACTCGAACTCAGCAATTGAGTCGAGTTCGAATACCCAACTCGATTTGATTTCACCCCTAGACTCATGCCACTGGTTATCCAAAAAAACATAACAGTCTTCTTTCTGTCTTTCTTTAAAGGGAGAACGACTTACACATACCCAAGGTTTGCCGTAACGACAAATTGGTACTTAAAAGGTTTTGAAACGATAAATAGATACCTTCCGTCATGTTCTGTTAATGATTTCTGTTTATTAATAGTGAAAAGACTTAAATGCCCTTAAAAGTTTGAATTTTAGTTTTTTATAAATTTAAAAATTTCTAAAAAACCCCCTAGGTTTACAAATTTAACTAAATAACCCAATATATAAAATTTTTGTAAAATAACAAAGACACCCCCGCGACCCTGCAATGCCAATTCCGGCCACCACCGCCGGAATCTGGCCGGAAAGTTGCATTACGACACAGACCCGTCGGATCTGTGTCGTAACGCGGCGATCTGGCTTTTTCCGACCAGATCAAAGCTTATTGAAATTGGGCATCTGGGTATGATTCCAAAGTTTTATTTTTTCTTAAACAACTTGGATTTTTATTTGTTTGAACGGCTGAATCTGCATTCTAAACATTCTTTGTGTGTTGAGTTTGGGTATTTGTCAAGTCTGGATATCTGCTTACTTGGGTAGAACTGGATCAAATTGAGATGGTTTTTTCTTATTTAATGGCTGAATTGTGCTGTGTGTTACCCTTTTTGGCTGAGAAAAATTGCAAACAAACCTCGTTTGATTCATAATTTCGTTAAAACTTTTTGATCTAGGAGCCAGATGTTTGGGTGGCCTGAATGTATTTTCTACTTTTTTCATCTGCTGTCTTATTGTGTTATTCAGTAAAATAAGCATAATAAAATAAGCTGGGTACTCTTTGCAGCTTGAAACAACATAATGGTGAACTAAAAGGGGGAGCAAAAGCATCCCGTGCAGGAAGACCATGGGTTTGTGCATGCTTAATTCGAGGTTTCCACGATCAAAGTGAAGGTAATTTTTCTAATATATATCTGTTGCCTCGAAAGATTTTATTTTATTTATTTTATTTTTTTTTTGGTGGTTGATTGATAGAGAAGAAGGAATTTTATTCCTTTGAATATGTTGATGTTAAACAATATAGTTTCTGTCAAGTACTTGTTGAAAGACACGTTTATTGAATTATTTCATTGGAATGTTGCAGCTTTAACTGTATCTATAAATTTTCTCTCTGTGCTTTGCTTCTTTATATATAACAGTGGATTCTTGGAATTTTGTTGTCATCAAATTCCCCATTAGATTTGTTCCAACAAGTTTGGCAACTCTCTAAATGGCCATAATATTTCCAACCTTATCTCACATACGATCACCTTTGTTCTGCCTTTCTCTGTTCCCTCCTGGGATTTCCGCAACCACTTCCAGAATCTACAACAGTATCCGTTACTCCCTTTAAAGTCATCTTTCCAGAGAGGCTGCATTTATTTATCAAATTATTTGACATTGCTGATGATTCTGCAAGACCATTTTATGGCTGCTACAAGATATTTATAATTATGGAATTCCTTGACCAATGTTTTCTCATTAGCGATTGCCATGAATCTGGCTCTATTGAAGTGTTTGATGATTATATGCAATTTTTGTGGCCTGCCCTTGAATCTTTTGCTTTATAGAAAGGCTGAAAGCTCCATAACTTAGTCACAAATATTTACAATGATTATGACAAGAGTTAATAGGTATAGCTTTAACATGACCGTCACACAATGTTATTATCGGAAACTTTCTAATTTCTGTTGCTTCTTGAGATTCTACTTTATATATGATGTATGTTATTATCTTGTTTAGAGTGGCAGATACTACGAATTCTTATGCAATGTTTCCTTGAATTATATATGTAGCTTGTGAATTTGAATCAAAATGGAAAAATTTCTCACGGAAATTGCCACGCAAAAGGAATAGCGAAGACACGATGAAGCAGATGAATGATAGGTCACTGCCATTGCTGCAACACAGGCAAACAGCTCTAAATAGAGTGAAAGCATCTCTTGATTGCAGTCACTTAGAAATTGATTGGCAATTGAACCCTTTCTAAATTGTTGTAAGTATTCCACAGTGTCTCAATATTTCTTGACCCGATAACCTAATCAGTATGTTAAGTTAATGAAAAGTGTATAATGTAGGGTAAAGAAACACCCATGTCCATCATTCTTGTACACTGTATTAATTTTCTTTATCCCAATAATGAAAAGCATGTATTATTTTCATGTAGAAACAACAAAAATCAATTCTTCAATGGTACAAAAATAATTATAATCCGTGGATGAAGTTTAGAATCATTAATCCTTGTTTAATAAGGATTCAAATACTAATTAGATCTCTAATTCAACAAGGAATCAAATACTAATTCTCATGTATCTAATCCTTCTTCAATAAGGGATAAAACAAAACGGGTTGGTTTTATATATATATGCTTTGGCGTCAGGAGCTGAACAAGGTGTTTCTCATTATAGGCATAGGTTTAAAAATGTCGAAACCAGCTTCTTGTTCCTTTGATATGTGGCAACAAGACGAGATCGCCCCTCCAAGTCACCACACTGGTAAATTCTATATTCTATTGCGAGTTTATTTCATTGTTGAATACACTCCACAACACTACAAGATGAATGTTTATTCAAAGAAGAGTTATGGGTATCTTGAACGAAGTGACTTGGTAGACGACTTGAAGCTGCCTGAAACCATTTCAAGGATGATGAAACTCCTTCCTGTAACTGAAGAGGACAAAGAGAAGATCATAAAGATTGTTGGCTCCAAGGCTAAGTTGATGGATTGTAATGATTCTAATGCGGGTCGTGATGTTATATCTGCTGTTATGTCACTTGGGATTTTTTATAAACAAAAGTATAATCAAGAAGTGGAGCTTGCTTGGGCTACAAGATTGGGAAAGTCCCTAGGAGAATGCGTGCCGGCCATGGAATTAGCCGTTATGGATTTAAACAAGTTGGTGTTTGAGAAGAATTGTTGCCTTGAGAGTCAATGTGGGATTTGTTTAGAAGGGTTTTGTGAGGGAGAGGAGATTACTCGGTTGCCTTGCTCGCATGATTTTCATGGAGGTTGCATTGTGAAGTGGCTTAAAAAGAGTCACTTGTGTCCATTCTGTAGATTTCCACTGCAAGTTTGCGGAGAGACAGAAGCTTTATGCCCGTTCAAGGAGGAGAAGATGAGTAAGGATCGTGTGTATCGAAAACCAAGGAGGCGTGTTGGGCAGCCATGGCTCCGGAGTCGTCCTTATGGTGGGCTAAACATCGTTGATCCTCTTGGTTAGCCAAAATTAAATTGAAGGTCTCAAGCGTTGGTAGAAAATTTTGTGAATACAGCCAAGTCCAAAGTCCAAATCTAAATCAAGATCATCTGTCTATCTCATTCTCTCTACCAACGTCCCCATCAAGAACTACATTGGTGTCACCATCAATTTCTCTCGCCTGTACCCTTGAATTTGAAATCTATACAAGCTTATGTTATGAATTTGAATGTTTGTTCAGTCTAGCTATCCAGACTTGTAATGCTTGTTTGGGTCAAAATGTTGATGTTAAACAACAGTTTCTGCCAAGTTCTTGTTGAAAATCACTAGCTTATTGAAGTATTCGATCAGAATGTTGCTTATTTTGATGTATCTGGAAATTTTCTTTCTGTGCTCTGCTTGTTATTGACACAGTGAATTCTTGGAATTTGGTTCTCATCAATATCCCTATTACATTTGTTCGATTTTCTGTTTTCTCCTAGAACTTCTGCAACCATTTCCAGAACTCACCTATAATTCATCGCTCTCTTTCCAAGTCATTCTAAAAGATAAAAGCAACTACCACAAATTGAAACAATTAAACTAAAACATAAATTGACGGATAGGAAGATAAGAGTAATACTCTGACAAACACTTCTCACTAATTTTCTCTTACAAACGCGACGTGTCAGCTCGTAATAGGTTTCACCTGACCAAATGTGAATTAATCAATTGCGAGCTATCATGTCACGTTTATAAGAGAAAGTTAAAGAGAAGTGTTTGTCAGTCTATCTTGATTCATGAAGATAAAGGCCTCTCCTACCTAAAACAAAGAGTGAAAGCTTGAAGTTGTCATGCGCTGGGATGAAAATCGAGCCTAGACGCTCGAGCTCGGCTCAACTTTGGCTTGAATTCAACTCGACATTAGTCGCGTCGAGTTCGAGTAGCTTAACTAATCCCACGAGTCGAGTTTGATCACTATACAAAAAACTTGACTAAAACTCGATTAACCAAGCTCGAATTCAACTTTTAGATATCGAGTTCAAGTTTGAACTTGATTCATTAGGCTTAAACTCGAACTCAGTATTGTAGCAATCGAGTCGAGTTTGAATATCCAACTTGATTTGATTTCACCCCTAGACTCATGCCACTGATTATCCAAAAAAAACATAACAGTCTTCTTTCTGTCTTTCTTTAAATCATCAATCGTGTATATATATATATATATTTCATTGTAAATTGACTTTGATATCTCTGACAAAAATGGGACGTTTGACAAAAAATTTCTTCATGTGATACTACCTTTAGAGATCGATGACAGGTAATTTGTAAGTGTTGGTGATTTTTTTATTTAATTTTCACCCAACAGGTGTTGTTATTTTTAGCCAATGATACTAATCAATCATTCAATTATTTAATCTTGATGAAATTTGACTTCTAAACCTGCATTAGATCAGAAGTTTGGTCAACTCGCCGACAAATTAAGTTGTGTAAACGTGACATGATGGTCTGTCTTTAGACATTAGTGGTTTCTTTTATTATTATGTTATTCTACATGTGATTCTTCATTTCCTCTATTGGCCAATCAATGCTAGTAATCTTAGAATTCCAGAAAAGCATACCAAGAAATTCTTTATTCTGAATTCCCAATGTTTTTATTATGACCTATTTCCTAATATGAACTTGTTGATGCATGAACATTGATTGGTCAAGAGATACACGTGATTATGGATAGAAAAATATGAAATAAATGCGATGAGAGCTTTTTAAAGTGGTTCGGATGCTAAGGTAATAAGTCCTACGTCCACTGATTTGTATTAGATTAGTGGGTCAAGTCGCAACAGCGAACTGACTTACAAATGATTAGGAAAAGTAAATACAAAGTTTGCAAGAGAGAGAGTTCAAATGTAAAAATGACCGAATCCCCTTAATGAAGGGGTTTTCCTCTTTTTATAACGAGATGAATGCGTGTAATCATTATTAAATCCTTAGGTGTGAATGTCAGGACATAATCCGACTTTACATCCCATTGCCCACTTCCCAAGCTGATTTCACGCGATTTGGAGCAGGGAAATGGACACATGGGAGCTCCATAGCGTTTGGCAGGTCTAACGTGTATTTACCGTTCTGACGGGAACAGATCACACTTCATCACGTGACTTTTCACGTCAGCCCTTGTTTTCCCAGGCATAACAGAACAAATCCAGTAATATAAACAATTGATCAAGAATCCTGTTTTTCTTTCTCATACTTTTTAACAAGATGGTAGAACATTCTTAATTCATACACTAACAAAAACAAGCCAGAGGATTTTTACGTCCACTGTAGATTTCCCCAAACCAGTAAGTATACACTTTAGACTTTCCATTGTAAAAAAGGTCCACTAAGTAGAGAAAAAACTAATACAAAAATCGGAATCCAATGACCAAAAAGGTTCAGTCGATCAGCAGCACCATCTCCAATTCAAGCCTACCCACTTTGATATTTTATTGACATATACTTTTATAACACGCTTTCATATGTGGGAAATTAACAGACTTTCCATTTTCTATATATATGCACTGACTTTGAGACTTGAGAGATGCACAAACTACTGATCTTGTTCTTTTATCAGCAGCAGAAATATTAAGATCTGAAATAAACAAGATTAATGGAAGGTGGTGAGAATGAGATCAAAAACTTTGTGAAGGTATGGCTGTCAGTTGCATTGTGTTTATGCTATTGTTATGTCATTGGTAAAATGGTTCCCAGAGGTGCAAAAAGACTCATTTTTGTGCTACCAATTGTGGCCGTTTTTCTTTATCTTCCCCTCGTTCTTTCTTCGGCTCATCTCGGTGGCATCACTGCGTTTTTCATTGCTTGGCTTGCCAATTTCAAGCTCTTACTCTTTGCCTTCGGCTTTGGCCCTTTATGTTCAGATCCATCCATCTCTCTCCCTCTTTTTATAACCGTCTCTTGCCTCCCCATCAAGATCCAACTCAGCCCACCTCAAAATGGCCATAGAAAACAAACCCCATCTCAAAAAACTCTTGAAAATGGTAAAAAAAAAGGCCCTATGAATTACGCAATAAAGGCTCTACTTTTGGCTGGTTTTGTAAAGGCTTATGATTATAGCGACCGTATGCACCCCAAAATGATCCTCCTTCTCTACGCTTTCCACGTTTATTTCCTGCTTGAACTCATCCTCGCCCTGAGTGCAGTCATGGCTCGAACCGTCCTTGGACTTGAGCTCGAGCGGCAGTTCAATGAGCCGTTTCTTTCCACTTCTCTTCAAGACTTTTGGGGCAATAGATGGAACCTTATGGTCTCTGGTATCCTGCGCCCTACCGTATACAAACCCATCCTCAATTTCTTCACACGTGTCGCTGGTCGGAAGTGGGCTCCACTCCCAGCAGTTTTCGGCACCTTTGTGGTATCCGGTTTCATGCACGAGCTTCAGTTTTTCTACCTGGGCCAGGGCCGGGTGAAGCCCAATTGGGAGATCACTTGGTTCTTTGTTCTTCATGGGTTTTGTTTAACGGCTGAGATTGCTCTAAAGAAGGCCGTAACCGGGAAGTTCCGGCTGCCGAGTTTGATATCGAGGCCGTTGACGGTTGTTTTCGTGATGGTCACCGGTTGCTGGCTGTTTTTCCCGCATTTTAGCCGGTATGAAGTTGATGTTAGGGCGTTTGAAGAGTACGCGGCTTTGGGAGCATACATGAAGAATGTGAGTCACAGTATAGTTAGTGTTATGTAAGGCAGAATTATACCATTTTTCTGAAATTTTGTAGCAAAAACACAAAATTTAATTTTATACATCAAAATAGGAGGTGGGTATTGCATCATTATCTCATATATGATTGTATGGAGAGGTCTAGGACTCATCTAACTTATGAGAAATCATGTTCATGGCCGCCCTGTATTTGTGATTATTGTTATCGCTTCTTCCTGAACTTGTAGTGGATGAAATTAATCCTGGTGTAAAGCTTAAATCTTGTCTTTTCATGTTAAGAAAGGACACATGCAATACTTATATAGTACATAAATACAAACTAGCAAGAACATATCATCGCAGATTCTAACTCTTCCCAGATATTAGTCGCCCAATTTTTGACAGACAATCTGCATGGTTGGCCTGGATTCTGGATTCACATTTAAGCATAAAAGGGCCACTTCCATGATGGATATTAGGTTCCCATGGAGACCAAGGGAGGGAGATGAGAGTCGTGAGTCTGACATATCATCAAGCAATACGTTCACATTTGAAGCTAAAGATGAAGGTGAGGAAATATAATCTCTTGGATGCTTCCCTGCAAGCACCTCCAAAGCTAACACTCCAAAGCTATAAACGTCACATTTTTCGGTTACTTTCATCGTGTAAGCGAGTTCTACAAAATGAAAAAAAGCATATGATAATCATATAACATCGATGTTTTATACGATAAATAAATTATATACCTGGTGCGAGATATCCATATGTACCCACGAGTTCGCTCCAATTAGACGAGTTTGGGTTGAGAAATTTGGCCGTTCCAAATTCTGAAACATGAGCTTCATATTCTTCATCCAACAACACATTTTTGCTTGATATATCTCGATGGACAATCGGTACCACACAATCATGATGCAGGTAACATAAAGCATTACTCACACCTTTTATGATATTTATTCTCTTACTCCAATCTAGTTCCATCGCAGCCGTTTTATTTATCAGGAGTTTGGCCAAGCAACCTCTTTCAAGGTATTCATAAATTAAAAATGAGTGACGGGCATGTGAACAAAATCCATACAGTTTTACAATATTCCGATGTCGTATTTGTGTCAATGCCATTACCTCAGTCGAGAACTCTTTTTGATTGTTGCTATCACTGATGATATGAGAGTGGATTTTCTTAACAGCTACAATGTCTCCCGATGATAGCTCAGCTTTGTAAACACTTCCAGATCCACCCTCTCCAGTGCAATACTTGGCATCAAAATTCTTTGTTGCTCTAAGGATCTCATCATACACCAGTTTTCCTTGGAACATTGATTTTGAAAGCAATTCTTCGTTGTTGTCATTGCTTTGTTGCATTTCTGGGAGTCTCTTCCTTCGTCGGAATCTACAGAAAATCAAAACTAGCCCACTTGAAAGAGCAAATGCTCCCAAAAGAGGAAGCACAATTACAAACATTATAGTCAAGCCTTTTCCCAAGGCATGTTTGTGTGACTTAACAGCTTTGCAAGGTTGTAATCCGCCATTAAAATCACCACACAGTCCTCTGTTTCCTTGTAATGCTTCCATGGGAGCATCTCGAAATGCTTTGCTATTGGGAACAGGACCCTGCAACTCATTAAAGGATATGTCAATGCATGATAAACCATGCATATTGTTGAAACAGCTTGGTATAAAACCAGAGAAGTTATTGTGAGAGAGATTCAGATTCTCCAAGCTCTCCAAACTGCACAACTGTGAGGGTATCTCTCCTTTCAGCAAGTTGTGACTTAAATCTAGCTCTGATAATTGAATTAACTTCCCTAATTGAACCGGAATTTTTTGATCAAACTGATTATGGCTCACATTCAAGTAGTGCAATTTCAACAGGCGTCCAAGAGTTTCTGGTATTCTCTTGGTCAATCTGTTTGCGGACAAGTCAAGGTACTCAAGTTCTGTGAGTAATCCAAGCTCTAAAGGTATTCCACCTGTAAGTTGATTTCCGCTCAAAATCAGATTATTTAGAAATGTCAACTTTCCAAGTTCATTTGGAATCTCCCCAGNATACAGTTTTACAATATTCCGATGTCGTATTTGTGTCAATGCCATTACCTCAGTCGAGAACTCTTTTTGATTGTTGCTATCACGGATGATATGAGAGTGGATTTTCTTAACAGCTACAATGTCTCCCGATGATAGCTCAGCTTTGTAAACACTTCCAGATCCACCCTCTCCAATGCAATACTTGGCATCAAAATTCTTTGTTGCTCTAAGGATCTCATCATACACCAGTTTTCCTTGGAACATTGATTTTGAAAGCAATTCTTCGTTGTTGTCATTGCTTTGTTGCATTTCTGGGAGTCTCTTCCTTCGTCGGAATCTACAGAAAATCACAACTAGCCCACTTGAAAGAGCAAATGCTCCCAAAAGAGGAAGCACAATTACAAACATTATAGTCAAGCCTTTTCCCAAGGCATGTTTGTGTGACTTAACAGCTTTGCAAGGTTGTAATCGGCCATTAAAATCACCACACAATCCTCTGTTTCCTTGTAATGCTTCCATGGGAGCATCTCGAAATGCTTTGCTATTGGGAACAGGACCCTGCAACTCATTAAAGGATATGTCAATGCATGATAAACCATGCATATTGTTGAAACAGCTTGGTATAAAACCAGAGAAGTTATTGTGAGAGAGATTCAGATTCTCCAAGCTCTCCAAACTGCACAACTGAGAGGGTATCTCTCCTTTCAGCAAGTTATGACTTAAATCTAGCTCTGATAATTGAATTAACTTTCCTAATTGAACCGGAATTCCTCGATCAAACTGATTATGGCTCACATTCAAGTAGTGCAATTTCAACAAGCGTCCAAGAGTTTCTGGAATTCTCTTGGTCAATCTTTTTGCGGACAAGTCAAGGTACTCAAGTTCTGTGAGTAATCCAAGCTCTAAAGGTATTCCACCTGTAAGTTGATTTCCGCTCAAAATCAGATTATTTAGAAATGTCAACTTTCCAAGTTCATTTGGAATCTCCCCAGCTAGATGATTTGAAGAAAGATTAAGGAGATGAAGTTGAGTCAGGTTTCCAATTTCTGGGGGAATGCCTCCACTAATATTATTTCCTGCTATTTTTAGGGTGCTCAATTGTTGAAACTTTCCCCAATTAGATGAGATTTCACCATGAAATCTATTGGAGCTGAGATCTAAGAACTCCAAGTTTGGATAGATGCCAAAATCTTTATATATGTTGCCAATGAGTTGGTTTCTATCCAAGCGGACTCTTACTAGGCTTGTACAATATTTAAAGCTTTCAGGGATTGGACCTGAAAAATGGTTGTCATTTATAGTAAAGAACTCAAGTGATCCACCCCGGCAAATATTTTGAGGCAAATTACCAGTGAAATGGTTTCCACCAAGAGAAAGCCTAGTTAATTTCTTAAAATTTCCAAAATCTTCAGGAAGGGAACCAGAAAGTTCATTTCTGAAGAGGTGCAAACCTTGTAAGTTGCTCAGATTTGTAAAAGAAAGAGGGATAGAACCACTTAGTTGATTTTGGCTTAATCCTAAATCGAGAAGTGACTTCAAATTTCCTACCTCTTCAGGAATGGAGCCAAAAAGTTGATTGTCGTCTAGAAGAAGACGAGTGAGGTTTCTCAAATCTCCTAGTGATGATGGGATTGAACCAGAAAGTTTATTTTTTTGAAGGCATAAACTGGTGAGGGACTCCAAATTTCCTATCTCGCAAGGAATGGAACCAGAAAGTTGATTGTCAGCCATGTGCAACTTACTTAGCTTTGTTAGGTTTGCAAAACCTGAAAAAATGGGACCATTTAGATGGTTTCCGCCAATGTAAAGTTTAACCAGATTAAAGAGATTTCCCATGTTTAAAGGAATGGCGCCAGAAAGTGAATTGTTATAAAGATACAAACAGGCCAAGTTGCTTAAATTACCCAAAGAAGCTGGTATTGAACCCTCCAAATGGTTACCATCCAGAGCAAGATCATTAAGAGAACCTAACTGACCTATTTCTTCTGGAATTGAGCCATTCAACTGATTCACAAAGAGGTGGAGGATTTGCAGACGGGGTAGGAGACCAATTTCTGGTGGTATTTTCCCAGAAAAGTAATTAGCTGACAAATTAAGGTACTTGAGTTTGGTGAGGTTACTGATTGGAGGTGGAATGGTACCAAAGAGTTGATTCAGGCTAAGATCAAGATATGCAAGATGGGGAAATAATGGGAATGAAAATTCATGAAGCGTACCTTTTAAACTTGTATTGGTCAGGTTAATTCTAACAATTCTTCCACCATGGTTGCAGGAGATACCAGACCAAGTACATGAGCTATTGCTAGTGGCATTAAGAGGATAAAGAAACCATGAAGGTAGGAGAGAAGGGCTATGATTTTGAAGGCTGGCTTTCCATTTTAACAGAGCATGAGCTTCTTCGATAGAATCAGAAGAAACAATTAGTGAATTATGATGTAGCATAACAAACAAGATCAGAGAAACAAGTGAGAATACTGTGTTTAAGGTTGGAAACCACATTATTTTCAGGCTGCTAATGGATTTCATAATTCAGGAGTCTGAATCTGATGTATATACAATTCATCTTCAACCTTGAAAAGTCTCCAACCATCTTTCAATCCGGGTTTTGTTTGTTGAGAAAGTTAATGTCCAAGTAAATCTTCTGCATTTACTGCTTGGCCTGTCCTTAATTTAGCCAAGAAAAGGACCACCATGAGCTCTTATATTACAGAAGAGAATATCTCTAAGCTCAAATGCATTAAATTTGAAGACTTGATTAAAAACGTCTTTATCTTGCAATTAATGTTTGGTCTAATTTAATATCTGATTGATGACATTCTAATTAACTTACAGACATAGCCAACTCCGGAGAGTTTCAGCAAGGCTACAGAGAAATTTTCTGCAAATTGGTCCTGCATGTGGGCACTGATTTCGACCATCCTCCCAATTAGAAAATTTGATATTAATGTTAAAGAATGGAAACCAACAACATTTTTAAGTCAAGGTCTTTATCTTCTTAAGACTATAGATGAGATTATTATCCTGTGAGTGACTGTGGTTTTAAATGAATTTTCATAAATCGGACTGTGGTTTTATCAATCAAATTATTCTAATTTTTAAACATCATATATTCAATTTTTGTAACAATTTTGGAATAGATGATCTCAAACTCTCAAGTTTTAGATGAAGTTTCTTTGAGAGTTGAGACCCACTTTTGATTGGGCCTCATGTGACGTCGCCTATGGCCCTATGCCAATTCAAATACATGAGCTTAGGTATGGCTAACCCTAATGGTTAAAGGGTTAGTCATCAGGGGAAGACTGGAAGAGGTATTTTTTTTATGTGAATTTTTCAATAATATATACTTAAATAAGGTTGTTTTATAGAAGTATAGCAGAAATGGACATGGTCACATGAAAAATAGTAGACTGTTCTTATGCCATAGGAGTTATTTTTATGAACATTTACTCATATGAGGTGAATATTTTCCTTAAGAGAAAGAAATATATAATTAATAACTTGTAGTACAAAAGAATTTATTAGACTTGTCTTTTTGTATGCCAGAAAGTGGTTACTAACCTGTCTTATTAAAGTTCTACCAGCCTTTTCCAGGAAAAAAATCCGTCAACTTTCTTGTCCTTAATTTAAGCAGCCCTAGAAGCCCTTGATTAATATAATATTAATCACTTCAAATCATCTACTTAATTCCATCTAATTACTTATATAATTAAGTTTAAGGTCATGCATGATAAACCACTAATAAAAACTTCCAGAAAAGCTGGAAAAAAAGTATCACCAAGGCTTCATGACTACTCAAAAGTAGTGAAATATGATCTTACATGCACAAGTTTCTTGTTCTTGAGGGAATCGAATTTCCTTTAAAAAAAAAAAAATTCTTTTGAAACTTTTCAATACATCTGTCATTGAACCAACTACTTATTTTGCTTTCAAGCATTTTTAAGAGCATGGCTTATTATTGAAGGTGAAATTCTTACGTTTATGTTCCTGTGATGATGGCTTGGTGAAGGATAACTTGTCCTTATCAAAGCAGAAATAAACATGTTCAAGTCATCTATGGAAGCAGTTGGATTGGCTTTAACAGAGAGATTTTTTTTGATAACGTCTAGTAGCTAAATCCATGATTTGGTTTGGATGTGACTTAACCGTGCTTCTAACCAATAGAAAGAAAGATTGGAGACGATAAATCAAGCCCCCTGTGTGCTAAAGACAAAGCTAGGTAGTTTTTGGATATGAATGAGCTGGACGTTTGGTGCCCATTGCCCAATTATGAAGCCACGTTTTGGTCCAGTTTGATTGATTGATTTTGAGGTGGGGTTTTCTTGAGGGGCCTCTCTCAATTGGTAATAATTATTTTTCTTGTATTCTATTTCTATACGTGTAAAATATGGGTTTTACCGGTCAATTTGTTGATAATGAAACTCTTATACAGAGATGTCCCTGTGATTATTATTCTTATCTTCTTCATTTTACAGGTTAAGTTGCTGATAATGAAAGATATTTAGATGAAATTTTGAAGACGTGATTGTGATTCAGTTTTAGTTTTATCCTTTTCTGTACTTGGTAGTATTGTAGAGTTCTACTTGTTTGACTGGTTATAATATGTTGTTTTTATACTACCAATCACATACACTTTTTAATGGCAACAAGAAGTAGCTTGGGAATTCCACTTTGGTGGGCTCCCTGTTCAACACCCCAAGATATCCCTTACCTTCATTTTTCATCAATCTCTCTCTCCCTTTCATGCACCGCATCTTTTAAAGCAGTTTCTTAATCTGACTTCAATCCCAACAAGGCAACAACTGTTTTTTAGTTTTACAACTCAATTTCAAGTCATTAAAACACAACAAACCCGAAGTTTTCAACTTTTGTAACAACAACTTGGTCTTGCCTGTTCTTTACTCGTTGTAATGAGCTCTTGATTTATATCTCATCAAAGCAGCAAATTATTACAAACCCATTTTGTAAGATCTCTTACCTCACCCAAAAATCAAATCTTGATGGGGTACCTTTCTTGCAAGGCTGACTCGGCTATCTCTGTAATCTCCACAAAGTCTGTTGCTTCACAGCAAACTCAGTCCTCAAAAACTAGTCAAAAGCAAGAGAAGCCTATCAAGATCCAACAGTTTTTTTACAGTGACCTTGAAGCGGCCACCAATGGTTTTTCTGACCAAAGACTTCTGGGTAAAGGCAGCCATGGATGTGTCTACAAGGCTGTTCTACGTGGTCGTCAAGTGGCTATCAAGAAACCCTCCAAGAATCAAGAGATCAGCCTTGAAGTTGATAATGAGATTGAAATCTTGTCCAATATTAATAGCCCTCGATTGGTGAATCTCTTGGGCTTTTCTAATGACTCAAAAGATCGTTTGTTGGTCGTTGAGTTTATGTCTAATGGTACTCTATACGATGTTCTTCATTCAAATCATAGGCCATTGAATTGGGGTAGAAGAATAAGGTTGGCTTTGCAAGTTGCTAAAGCTATTGAAATACTTCATTCAGAAAAGCCTCCAATTATTCATAGAGATATTAAGTCAGCAAATGTGTTGATTGATAGGAATTTCAATGCTAGATTAGGTGATTTTGGGTTGGCTTTAAGGTGTGGCGTTGACAATTATAGGCTTAGATCAACTCCACCTGCTGGGACTATTGGATATCTAGATCCATGTTATGTGACCCCTGATAATTTGAGTACAAAAACGGATGTGTTCAGTTTTGGAATTTTGTTGCTGGAGATTATTAGTGGAAGAAAAGCCATTGATGTTGGATTTTCTCCACCTTCCATTGTGGATTGGGCGACTCCTTTGATAAAGAAAGGGAAGATTGTTGCTGTCTTTGACCCGCGAATTCCACCTCCTAAGGATCCTATTGTTAGGAAACAATTAGCTGTGATTGCGGCAAGGTGTGTGAGGTCTTGTAGGGAAAGGAGGCCTACAATGAAAGAGGTTGTTGGTTGGTTAACTGGGTTGAGTAAATTGGTTCCTCTGCATTCGTGGAATGGGTTTAACAATCCATGTTTGATGGTGGAGACAATGGGGCGCCCGGTTGAAGTTAGAAAAACACCACAAGATGGTGTTGGAGGAGAGAGTTTGGATGTGGTAGACGGTAGATTCAATAGGATGACAATGAGAGACTCGCGGAGAGTGTATTCAGATTTGGGTTTGAGGAGCAATTTGATGGAACTCATGGCTGGTACTGATGAGGAGCAGGAATTTCGAGAAGGGGCTGACGGTGTTGAGCCAAATATGAAGTCAGCGAAACGGGTTTCTAGTTCAAGATTTGGTAGTGGAAGATACATTAACAAAGGGAGAGCTCAAGCACGGGCTCAAGTTAATGACAAAGGTGGCTTCTCCAGCTTCAGGAGAAACCAATCTGTTGGGGATGGTTCAGAATTGTTTTCAAGAAGAGCTGACAAGAATACTCAGTTGATTATTAGTTCTCGGGCAACTAATGAAGTGTAGTATTGCTGCAAACATTTGATTCAAGTGATTCGGGTATGGAGCAAAGTTGTGAATGTAAGCTTGTCATCCTTGCAAATAACATTCATGGTATCTAATTTCTCTGTGGGATTTTCTACCGTTTTGTCATTTTTTTCCAGTGTTCTTTCAATTGTTAATGTACTGTCAATTTTAGCATAGATATAGATCCAGTGGACATTTCTCATGTTCCCTATAGGTTGTTAATCCTTTTTGTTTTTCTCATCTTCATTCGGCAAAGCTTTTGTATGATAAAAAAACTCTGTTCTTACATACATAAAGCTGTATCAAAATTCATCAGCTGAGTGCTAATCCAATTATTGTTCTTCAACTGATTCCATACTGTTTTTGTATCAAACATTTAGTGTCTGCCAAATTGTTGCATAACTCACACTGTTTTTGCCCCCAGAGTCCGGGGAGATTAGTTCATGGCATGAATATGAAAGTGTTAAGACTTGAAGAATATTTTCCTAGATTATGTGACTCACTATGCACACTTCCAAACAATTTGTCTGGGTTTTTACCTGGACTCATTCAAGTAAGTTTTTTTTTTTTTTTTTTTTTTTTAAACTATCAGGATAACAAATATCCCGCATTTCCTGAAACTTAATTCTTGATATTCCTTTGTTTGTGTCTATCCACATGTGAGTATGTTATAGATGATATGGTTTTCAGAAATTCTGGAGCACAGGAATGAATAAGCTTATCTGATGAATAGAAGTCCAAATTGACAAGAAAAAACAGAGAGTAAAACAGATTTTCATATTTGATTCCTCAGGCTAGCTTCAACTTTGTCAGTATCTGTATATTTTCTTGTTGCAAAGGATCAATGTGGATCCTCGACTCTGTTCTCCGCAATCTCATGAAAACTGGGAAGTGCTACTTTACTTCAGTCATACACCAGTGGACCAGGAAAATTAGTCACACAGTAACATAACCAAGTTTTACTTATCTTAAGTTAAAAGAAAATGCTAAGGTGGTTGTAATATTCAAATGTGGATTTAAGATTTCTTCAACTTTGGATTTCTTATTTTTATTAGTAGTCTATCTCAGTCTATGGTGACCTGTTACAGAATCTAGTGGCATCTGGAGAACTTCTGCTGTCAAGTATAAACCATGTGCCATGAATAGCTTTGTTGTTATGTGGTTGGTGACCAATAAAACTGCTGTTCTGTAGCCATTGAGATCATTATGCTTGGTTAAACAAATTGTAAATCGCCATAATGGTTGTTGGTGTCTCTATAATTAGCTAATATTCCATCCCCTATAATGAACAAGTTATCTTATATAATTGAGATCATAATCTCTCTCTGCCTGCCCTCTATCGACCTAAAATTATCCATCCTTGAGAATGATCACAGAAGCACCTAACTCAAATCATGAGCCGGCATTAGCTCTCAGTTACCTCACCCTCTTGTTCAATTAAAAGTATTTGATACCCTTCTAGTTTCACTGCTTTGTTTTTGTTTACTATGAATGATAATGGCACTTTCACTTTGAACCTTTTTTCTTCTTTAACATTCCAAGTGAATTTAGGTAAAACCCTTTTGGTAATAATGTTGTTGTGTGATCTTTCCAATACAAATAAACCTTTTAGACCAAACCCAGATGGCAGAAAACTTGTTAGAACCTTTATTAAGCATACTGTGTTCTTGATTTAATTGCCATTTGGAATTCCAAGAAAGAAACTTGCAAACATAAAATTTGAGGCAATATTCACTTGCATCCAAAACAAGCCCTTTTTGTTTTGTTTCATTGTGATTAGAATTAAAACTTTAGTAATAAACTAATAATTAAAATTCACTGGGAGTCAATTACTGGATGCAAAATTTTCAGGTACAGTTTTTGAAGTCCAAGAAAGGGACTACACACTCTGCAAATGGCTATAAATTTCGTTGCAGCCAGAAACTCCAAATTACAAAAGACAAAAATGGTATCGATTTACCAAAGCAAGAAGAAGCTGGCCCAAGAATTTGTTTCATGCTTCTAAACAAGCAGAAAAGAGTGTGTGTCTGTAGCTGATAGCAACAAGCAGGAAAATTTATATTCTCTTTTTTTGCAAATTTCAAGGCTTTTTTACAGCTCAAACATGGCATATCCACGTGCTTCTTCTTTGAAATGGTGAAGGGTGTCCTGTGTTATAGTTGAATTATATGACCAAAACATAACATATTTTTCAAAGGGAAACACATCAATCAAATATTCAATCAGGGTAGACATTGTAATTAATTAGAATTTATGAGAAGAAGAGCCACTTTGGTGAAAAGGAGTTAGGTGTCATCATATGGTAGAAAAATGAGGTGGGTTTTACTTTTACTTTTACCAAAGCTAGGCAAAAATGTCAAAACTTATTTTGTAGTTAGCACTGTCGAGAGCCTGTTCTTATTCTTTTGTCTTTATATCTTTTGGCTCTCTGTATTTGAAATGAATCATATTTTTGAAGTGTTAAACTATTAATATCTTGTTCATCTAAATTCACAGTAGTTGACATCCACCCAGTAGAGTTTCTAGAAAAAAACAATAACTGTAACCTATAAAGAGTGTTGGATATTTTTCGGCACCAACCAATTGTCACGTGGGTTTTGTTCTTTGATGAATTAACGCACGTGATAATGGGTATATGAAATGAAATAAATGCTAGGAAAACTTTTAAAGTGGTTCGGATGCTAAGGTAGCAGTCCTACATCCACTGAGTTGTATTGATTTAGTGTTGGTCAGGTCGCTAAAGCTACTGACGTACAAAAAGTTATGAAAAGTGAGCTACCTTTCTCTTTTTACAAGTGAGAGAGTTGTCTTTTGGTCATGAATGAACCAACCCCCTTAATGGTGAGGTTTTCTACATTTTATATCGAATGGAAGCGTGTATCATCATTAAATCTATGGGTGGGTGTGATTGTCACCACGTCATCCATCTCACGTCCCGTTTTCCCTTTTTCCAAGCTGACTTTGCATGACTTGCTGCAGAGAGATGGACGCGTGTAAGCTCCATGTTTATTCGCAGGTCTGACGTGCGCACATTGCCCTGACAGGGCAGGTCCCCCGTAGCGTGACTCATCCTACGTCAGCCCATTGTTTTCCCGGGTATAACAGAAGCCCCCGTTTTTAAGGTTCGAGGAACGAGCCTTGGAAACTAAGTCACACTGGAGACTTTGGTCGCTACGACCTGGATGGGACGAGCTCGCCTAAAGGCCACACGAACACGGCTCTGCGCGACCTCGCGCGATCCCTTGCCCAAGCGACCTGACGATCTTTATCTCTGCGACCTGGCCTTGATGGACGCTCCTTAGTAGTTCAATGAATCTGTCCCTGCGCTGTCAGGCGCTCTGCATGCGTTACAGCGCGTGTCAGACACATTAAATGCGCGGTATGACCCGACGCCGTTTGACAGTATTGACCGTTTAACGCGTTTGAAACTGACAGCCCTAACTGCTGCATTTAATCGACGTGGGTTTGAAATGGCGCCCCTTTTTACGGCATTTAATGCGACGTGGGGCGCATTTAATGCGGAGGGTGAGGGAACTGCCGTTTCGACTCCGAGGGGTGGTAACCGTCGTTTCGCTATCCATATAAAAACTTGGTATTTTCAGATGAAGTCACCGAAATTTCTTTCGCTTTGAGTGACAAACTTTGGCAAACCAAGAACCATTTTCTCCCGATCGACGCTTTTCAGGCGACCGGAACGAGTCTCGGCCCTAGCTCCATATACCACAGAGTAAGGTTCTCTCTTTTTTTTTTTTTTTTTTTTTTTTTTTGTATGGTTTGGTCGAACCACGGCGTTGGGTCTTCCGTGTTTCACCGGAGTTTCGACGCCGTTATTGGTTCCGAGCCGTGGATGGCGGCTTGAATCACCTCTAGGTTTTAAGTATTTGTCCCTTGCTGCCGCACGGGACAAACAAGAGGCCCAAATACCATGTCTGTCGATGTTGCAGACTGGAATGGAACCGTCAACATCCAGGACCGAGGAGGAGCCAGCTCGTCCTCGCGGGAGCTCCCGAGGACGCAGCTCTCGACGTCTATTCGTTCCTTACTCCGAGGAATATGCCAGAATAAAGCGGCAGTTCGATATCCGTAACGGGTGTTCCCGACCACACTAGCCGTCACGGCGCCCACCGCGGGCCTTGCCGCGATCTCTGAGGAGACTTCAAGGGTGGAGGGAGATTCCCTTCCATCCTTTCATCAGGTCGGTCCTGGATCATTTCGGATCGCACCAATGCAGCTGACGCCAAACGCGTATGTCATCGCCGTTGCGATGTACATTGCGTGCTGCGAGAACGGTTTGGGCGAGCCGTCGGCACTGGAGCTCGGTGTCGCCTTACACCTGAAGAAGAGTAGGGACAAGGATTCTTACTACTTGTCTCGGCGACCTACATTGCTGCGGATACACAGCTATCCCACAATGCGGGGGCTTACGAGACAAAGTTTTTCTTTTCTTTTAAACGGTCACCGCCATTTCCAGGATCCAGTAGGTTTTCTTTGCTGGATTTGTTAATTGCTCGCACGTCGTTAGCTAACGACCTGTTTTCTTATGCAGTTAATAGAACGACCAACCAAGATTTACTCGCCACCCGAGCAGGCTCTTATCCTTCGGGATACTAGGCGGGACAGCGGGACGCGAGGAACTTGTGACGACCGCGAACCTGCGAAGTACGGTTTTTTCACCGACAAGGCATCATTAGAACCCTTGGACGTTGATTTATGCTGGTAACTTTTTGGTCGTGGTATAAATTCCCTTACTGACAAAGTTTAAATGCAGAGACCATGCCCCCAAAGGAGTCCGGGCAGTCCCGCCGAGCGCCATTGTTTCCCTCGATCAAGGAGGGAAAGGAAGGGAAAGGAGGCCGAGGCTGCTCGTGCCATTCCCGCACAACCGCTACGAACTTCTGCGCCTTCGCCCTCGCCCTGCACAAGAAGCGACCAGAACGAACAGGTCGCTCCAGCACCTCCTGCTCGCCCCAGGCGGAAGGCTCCGCCCAAAGGTCCAAAAGGAAACAGGTCCAGGTCGAAGAATCTGAGACCGAATCCGAGGAGGAGCCCCTCAGACGCCCAAGAACCAGGAGGCCGGGAAAGGAACCTGCGAGCGGGGCGGTGACTGCGCCAAGGCGAAGACGCCCCGTTCTGGCTCGTTCGGAGTCTGCCCGAGTACTTGCAGCCAATCGTATATGCCTGCTCGAGAGCAGCTATCGGGGTCGTATAATGAATTTGCAGACGCGGGTGACGACCTGATGGCCACCTCGTTTCAGCATCTGAGCAAGGTAAACCAGCTGTACCTTGAATTCCTATTTTGGCTTATTTAACTCGTA